TCTCTCTCTCTCTCTCTCTCTCTCTCTCTCTCTCTCTCTCTCACTCTCACTCTCACGGTACTATAACTTCGCATTCGCGTCGTTGTCACCTGCATACCTCGCTCTTTTTAACACTATTACCGCCGGGAGAGCACGAGAAATAAACGGCGCGTCCGGCGCAATCGGTTCTGTACCTACGGACCGTCCGGACGGAACAACGCACCCGGCGCCGCGCTGTAAACCGCAAGAAAAATCCCCCTGAATTATTGGTGCGGTTCTGGGCGCATGCTGTTGCATCGGTCCGATAGAAGCGTAGAACGGCGCGGGGTCGGCGTGCAGCCGTTCGACGTAGGTGTGCAAGTGCATGCGCGCGGATATTACACTGTCTGCCTGTGCGGGTGTGTGTTTGCCTCGTCGTAGATGTGGCACGATCGTGTGTACCCCCGTTGACGCCGCTACCGTTGTCGTGCATTATCAGAATGTAACGATGTCAGCATTACACGCGATCGGACCGCACAGAACGGCCGTGTCGTAGCCCCTTGAGCATCCAATTTTTCTGTCATCTCGCTCTCTCGGTTTTGTTTCCGCGCGATTAAAATTGTCGAAAGACAGCGAAAGACGACGATTCGGGAACTTTCGAGCTCTAAATCGAAGAATCAAGAACCAAAAATAAAGTTGCTTTCTCTAGCTTCAAATCCATATGCGGCGATAGAATAAACGAGAAATATTTCGGGATGTTTGAATCGTCAATGACGTCGATAACGAAATGTGAACTTTATTCTCAACACGATAATTCGGAGAATGAATTTCAGAATGATCAAATAGAATTGTTCAAAAGATAATCGTTTTAAATACTGTGTTTGTAATGGAATGCAAATTATTTAATGGATAAAGATAATAGAATATTTAACTAGCAATTTTTAATGGAGCTTGGACTTTATATTACGAAAAAGAGCAATTTGACGAAACAATGAAACGTGCTTGGGAAAGACCCGCACGTGCCGACGGCTCGCGGAACTCTGTTCTGTGACTGCGACTCCGGATTATTTGGATCCGTGCAATCCCTACGAGCTTCCTCCTTCTACCTCTCACGCTCGCTCTCTCTCCTTCTGGCTATCTCTCCAGCTCTTTCTCTCTGTCCCTCGGGATATCTCTCGGTTCCCTCTCGCTCGATCCCTCTCTCTCTCTCCGTGTCGCGTTGAATCCGTTTCCGTTGTGACTGCCACTGCGCATCGCACGCCGAACAAGTATTGCCCATTTGCCACGCGATTCGCGGTCCACCGTGAATACCAAGAGATTTCGGTCGTACCAATGCCAATGAAGCGTAGCAGGTGATTAATTTATCAAGTGTACATCGAGCGAAATTGTCGTGCTTATCGACCGAAACAAAATGTCGATCGATAGGATGATCCGGATTGACAGACGACGAGCGAGAGGACAACACTTTCCCCGACGACCTTAAATCCCCTCGTTCCGTTTACCATTCCGTTTCGTCTGTCGTCTACCTCGTGGGTGGGGTGCGAGAGAGCTTGTACAACCAAGCTCTCTTCCTCTCGCCCGGCATCCTCTCTTTCTCTCCCTCGTCGGGGACGATTCATTCAGAGAAACTGCCGTGAAAGGGACACCTGTTGGCGCGGGAACTCGGTGACAATCCTAGAAACGAGGAGCACGTGCCGCTGCCGCACGACTTGGATATCTTAATTCTCTATCGATGTACGATGCACCGAACAATTATTTTATATCTCGCAAATATTATTTTACAAACGGATTTACGATTCACCTCGCGTTTCGACACGACTTTCCTAAATGCGAATTAAGTTATTTTCGAATGGCATTCCTTTCATCAAACCGCAAAGCGTAATCTAGTGATGGCAATTTCACGATTCACGGGGATCGCCCGTCAACTGTCTATACGAAAAGGCCCGAGGGTTACCGGGAGCCGTTTCCGACGATGATCAAGTCTTAAAGAGTGTAGTAGGTGGTGCACAATTAAAGTACTTTTTGGTGGACTGGTAGCGTGAAAGCCAAGCCACGGTACGGGTGAAGATAAAGTGCTGCCCAGCGGCGACACCGTGCGTTATTAATGTATGCGAGGATCGTAGCTTCCGTTCGTAGCAACGGCACTCAAGAAAGAGCACCGAAGCGCCTAATATATGAATTGTATTTCCGGAATCTTTCTCTCTCTCCTCTTCTTATCTCATTATCAAAAAAAATTGACATTAATTATGGCAAGTTATCGCCGTTATTATTAATGGTTGGCAAACGTTCGTCGCTTGTCGTTGTTATGAGTAGGATTTCTTTTCCAGAAAAGTTTGGAATGTAAGCATCGCCACGTAAAAAAATTGGTTTCGTCGAGATTACCAAGTCACGATCATAAAAACTTCGCTCTTTCTCTTCCATCCTAGATACTTTGCATATCAATCGCCAATAATGAATTTAGTACCTCGATAACTTAGACACAAATTTTTTTTTAGTACCTCGATAACTTTAACGCAAATTTTTCTTAACTTGGAGAAACACCAGTTCGCGAATCACCACTACAACTACCACTACCACGGCCTAATCGATAAACGAGAATTAGACAGATAAGAACGTAATCTGCCGTCTCACGAAATATCGTCAACCTACCTGGCTGTGGTGCAGTCCCTGTAAAGAATGTCGAAGTCCTTGCAGCTGAGCAGTTTGCACCGATTGACGCCAGGCTGGATGGCTCCGAGACCGCGTAGGATCCTAACCTGCTCGACGTTACACACCAAGGGCACGATATCCAGCCGCTTGAGCTTCGTGTAGACTGTGTGGAGGCCGCCCACGAGGTGTTTGAGGAACAACTCGAAGGCCTGTGGCAGACAGAGCATCGTGTCGCCGGCAATGATGAACGCGGCGACCTTTTGGCCGCGATAGTCGACCAACTTGCACTCATTGGCAGTAGGATCGCTAGTGCTGATCGGCGGTGGACTGTTGTAGGATCTCGGTGGTAGAACCGCATGATGGGCCGCCATCAGCTCCAAGGGCGAGCCATGATGACCGCTCAGCATACCACCGAGTTGGCCCAGCAGTCCCAGTCCCGGCGGCGGCAGTCCCGGCATACGAGGCACCATACCTGGTGGTGCCCCGGGGCCACCCCCGGCCGACAACGGCGGTGGACTCAGAGGAAGGCCCTGGGGTGGTGAACCTCTCGTGGGCGATCCCGGTGTCGGCACACCGCGATGCTGTGATTGCTGCTGCTGCTGCTGCTGCTGCTGATGATCGCGAATCTGATCGCGCCCGTGCGACTGTTGATGAGACGGCGGCGGCTGATGCTGATTGCCGTGGAGCTGTTGTTGTTGCTGGCTCTGCTGCGTCGACGGGCTGTGAGGATGTTTCGGACTGCCGGTTACGGGACTGGCACGGCTGCTGTGATCGGAAGAGCTGTCCATCGCTCCGTGGTCCATGGAGGGTCGGAAACGCGCGTCCCTGTTCTTCCTACGGCTCGTAGAGACGACGAGACACTCTGGCACGTCCTTGCTGCCAGTGATACGCTCCGTGTCTCTGACGTTCACACGTCGTCGTATCACTGTGATTTCGCCCGCTGGCGAATATCGGTACGACTCGAACGATCGAGCGTGGATGCGTTTCAATGCATGTTAATGCCGTTCCTTCTTCGATCTTCTTTGCGAGTTTTCGTAAACACTCCGATAAGTAACGCGTACCGTGAGATTCAACGTTTTAAAATTACGCTGAGCTGACGTTCCTCGAGTATACCGCTTATCACTGCAAACGAGAGTCGTGTGTCTTGATACAAATCAGACCACACGATTTCTTCAGTCCTCACAAGCACGTGAACTTTTGTGTCCATAACAAACTTTCGGTCCACTTTCAGTCCACTTTCAACGTATAAATTATTTTCACCGATCCATCGCGAAAACGTACAACTCAACGACGACACAACGATAGCAACGAGGAGGAGGACAACAATACGGTGAGAGAAGTTACCGAGCAGACGGCGATGACAGTCGTCGCTCCGACTTAGTCAGCGAAACGGAGCAACTTCACGGAGCAATTCACTGGCTTCACGACGACGAAATCTTCATGTCACAAGAAAAAAAAACAAACGAATCGCGACGACTACACTGGGGCTCTGTACGATAGGAACGCGTAAGCGCAACCGTGACATGTATACGATTGTAAGAAGAATGTCAATGAGACGAGAGACGATGACAGCGAGGACGAGGACGACGACGGCGACGGCGACGGCGACGGCGACGGCGACGGTGGCAGCGGCGACAGCGACGATGACGACGGAGGCGGCTGCCGCGGTAACTCGCAGGGACGCGCGTCGCTCGTTCTCAAAGTAGCAAACGCTCTCTCGGTCGAGTCGGGAGTATTTCCCTACCCAGTCACAGATGTAATAAATAAAAACATCAGTGGGAGCCCGACAAACGGGGAGGATGGGCGTTCTGTGCGCGCAACCGACTATCCGGTTGGCGGAGCCACCAGGGCGGCTGTTCTCGCTATTGGACGGCAGGCTCGTACTGTCTACGCCTTTCGAACCTTCCCCCGAGTGGCGGCGGCTCGGCCACCCGCCCCCCGCGTCCCCCACTATTTGCCAACCTCTGCCACCGACGTGGTAGACGACGACGACTATGCCGGTGAGGACGGTTCCGGGGGCTACCAACACAGAGGGACAACCAGACGCAGACGCACAGAAAGCCTGAGGACAGTACGACTGGAACGTACCGGCGGCGCGAGCGACGCGAGTGGGGGATTTCTTCTTTTACCTCGTCGGGTTTGTGTTCTTTCGTGTGGGTCTTACGTTCTCTTTCCTCTCTCGCGCTCGCGCGCGCGTACTCCTCCCCCTCCCCCTTCGCCACTCTCCACTTTTATATCTTTCACTCTTGTCTCTTATCCGCGTGCTGTTCTTCTCTCGAGCATCTTGATTGTTACGCCCGCTCTCTCGAGGCTCGATTTTGCGCTTCTCTTCTTCCTTCAAATGTCCGTATCATTTTTATCATCTCGATAGCATTCTCGATAGCATCTCCTTCACCCTCGTTGAATCTGATTTTTCTCAGTTGTTTAACAATTCTGTTCGTTTTATTTTTAATTTATTCCATATCGATTTTCTCTCACCTTCCGCGTTCACGATTCCACGGGATCGCATATGCCATTCTCAGTTTTCTCTCGTTCTTTCCTATCTTTCCGATGCTATTCTTGTCTCCCGCCCCTCTTCGCTCCCTCCGTCACCCGTCCTCTACGTTTTCCGAGTTCGCGCTCTTTCGCGCGCGCGACCAGCCCTCTCTGCCTTGTTTCCTCCTTCGCTCGCTTCCGTCCGCCCTACTCTCTCGCTTTATCTCCTTCTTTCGTCATCCCCCTCTGCGTCACGTGCGCACACACGTATTGCCCGTGTCTCTATCTCTTTCTCTCTTTCTCCCACTGTTCCCTGTCCCTACGACGAAGAATGTCGCCAACGTTCGAATCGATCGCTCGCTTTCGCGCGCACTGCCTCCCTTCTTCACCCTTCTGCCGTCCGCGGCCCCCTCCTCCTCTATCTCCCCCTGCGCCTCTCCTTCTTCCACCTCTTCCTTCACCTCCTCCTCTTCCTCAAACCTTCTCCACCACCCTCTCTCTACTCTTCCCTCAGATCTCCTCTACCATATTCGCCATCAGCATTACACGCGCGCACTTATTTCTTCTGTAGGTAACTCCGCTTTCCTTGCGATCTCTCTCCTGCTCTGCCATCCCCTTGCGCCTTCGCCCACCCTTAGTCCACCTGCCCCCTCTCTGCCGCGCGCGCCACCGCGTTTCCTCCGCCTCTCCATCCCCACCAGTCCGGCACATAGGATAGTCTACGCTCTCCGTAGCTCGACACGGTTAGGGTATGGGTGCTTAATATCTTTGTGCCATACCCAAGGCGCCCGTATCCGCCGACAGTTTCTGGAGGTGAATTTCGCCGCGATCGAGTGGCTCGATTCGCGAGACAGAGAAGGAAATCATAACAACCATATGCATATGGATATGAATAATTACACGAGCGCGAGTTTAACAAAGATAATGCTTAATTTCAATAATACATATTTTCGATTGAAAAAAATTTAATCATGGCAGTTATGTATTTGTAGTTACATGCTAAATAATTCAATATTATATACATGAGATATCTCATTTTGAATGAGAGAACGGAATACCAGCTAACTTTTCCTCTCGACGAGCTTTAATGCGTTTCTTGGCTCCGATCAAGCGGAATGCGAAAAACATCGTACGGCAGGGAGGAGTCTCGGTGCGGAGTCTCCGATTATCTCGTCATAGATGCTTCGTGGCTGGTAGCGACTGAAGGGGAAAAGAGTCTAGCGCTCTCTTCTCTCTTTTGGCCGGTCAACCCCTCATCGGCCCGGTGACCCAGATTCGCTAGGGAGACCCTTCGCGATGCGAATATCGTCGTATGTGTTTACACCGATACGCGTTCGTACGGCCGTACGCACACCTTCACATACACGACCGTATTCGTGCTTACAGATTCCACGGTCCGTAGATACGTTTACTCGAAACAGCTGATCCCGTCGCCTTATAGATCCCCAAATGAAGCGAGATCCCCTGGGCCTATCCTTCATTGAGCACGAGCGCGCAAGCGAAAAGCCCGATTCTCCTATTCATACATTTGCAAATTTCCAGCCTGCGTAAACTCCATCCTCTACGGTCACGTGTTGTACGCTAATTGACACTTTGCGATTCTCTAAGCGAGAATCGTAATTCATCACGGAGAAGTTCGGGCGAGATATCGCAGCGCATTCTTGCAAAGTTGTTACGCGCGCGTCAGCATCGATCTATCATAATTGTATCGCTCGCATAACCGCGCGCAACGATCTAATAAACGGTCGTATAGATTCGCTACCGACTGCGCGCTAATAATATGGAAAAGATTTATCTCGGGCGAGAGTTGACGAACTGTTATTGCGAAACAACTTCGAAACCACCGGGAATATGGTAAATCGCGTGCGAACCGGAGTTCTGCCGAGGGATAAAGGCTTAGAAGGCTCGACGGCGACTCGTTCGCGACGGAATAAGAATCGCGTCCTTTGTCTTACGAGTGGGCGATCGATCATGAGATCGATGCGCGTGGTCCGGACAAGTCGGGGACGATCGGCAGGGGACCGATGTTTGCCGCGACCCAAACCACGTCCAATTAGTGGAATTAATACCGGCTGGGCTTTGGGGGAGCTAATGCCTCTGTGTGTGCATACCTACGGGTATGCGCGTCGATGACTGCACTTTCCTTCGTGCGTAATGAAGGACAATCCCGTCATCGTATCTATACCTCGATGCATTCGCTCGTGGAAGCGCGATCACCGGGCCCTCCTCTCTTATTCTGCGGTCACCGCATGAAATTCCGTAAGTCTACAGACTGTGCGTCGGTGCTCCACTGAGTCGTTAAGAAACTTGGCTGGCTAATTTCGCTCGGCCAACACCGCCGGAAAGATCTGCAGTTGTGTTGTGGCACTTTGAAAAAAACCGGCGTTACCGAAGTATTCAATTTCAAAAGCGAGCGTTACACGAGCGTATTAATCGCAATTACAATATCGATGCAGACACACCACGTGGGATATGTCCCGCGTAATGCGTCGCATTATTTCAT